CAGCCCAGGGCAGCACCAGTGCGGAGAGGTGTTTTGAAGGCGAAAGGCTGGAGCAGGTGCGATGGGAGCGGGTGGGTGAGGACGTTGGCTTTGGGTCGTTCTGAATGCAGAGGGGGTTAACGACTCTCTAGGCTGGTGTGGGTCCGACTCTGACAGCTGTCTTGCTTTGTGCCCTTCGGAAAGGTAATAAACAAAAATCATCCTTTTCCCTGATTCCTCCTTTCTTCCCAGAGGAGTGTGGAGGTAATTGTCTGGCTGTGTGCTCCAGAGCAGGGCAGCTGGAGGGTGCAGCTGTTAAAGGTGAGGAGAGAGGGGGAATAAATTAAAAGCAACCTCCCCTACGCAGCTTTTGAATGCTCAAATCACTCTGAGAAATGAGTCCTGTGCTCTCAGCTCCTGTGGAACATATATCCTCACTTGGGGAAAAACCCAGACCTAAACCTTCCTGAGAAACGTGCCTTCAAGCCCAGCTCACCACACCTGCCTTGGCCCAGCTGGTTCTCGGGTGAGGGTCATTCTGCTCCCAAATCTTGGCCCGTTGGCACAGCGCTCCTTCCTTCTTGCTGCACTTCTTGTCCTGGCAACTCTTTCCAGCCTCGTATTATTTGGGAATTTAATTAATGTTGGGTCTGCTCCCTCTTTGAGATCGTTAATGAAGGTGTGATTTAGGATGGGGCCGGATGCTGATCCCTTCTCTCCCCTCGTTCACTTGAACACTGTTCAGCATTAAGCATTGTGTATGGTCCATCTGACAAAGTCTCTTTGCGGCAGTGTTCCGTGCTGGTCCCATTTGAATTAATGCTGGGAGTGAGATGGTTCAGTGCTGCTCATAGTCGCTGGCTGTCAGGTGAGCACCTTGGGGTTGAAATCACCCTGTACAGAGGAGCAGTATCGCTCTTCCCAGGGGCTGGAGAAACTGAGGCATGGAGAAAAGCACTCAGGTCCTCACCTGGGCTCCGTGAGAATAAGTGACATTTCCTGAGACTCAGGCCAATGCCATCACCAGCAAAACAGGCTACTTTGTCCTCTAAATCTTCCTCTACTTTCTAGTCTTTTTTCCCTTTTATACTCTAATATTCTAGTTCTGTGTCACCTTCCTATATTTGGGAGTCGAAGAAGATATGATATAGTGGAAAGAAGAATAAATATTAATATTTATTAATGCCCCAAAGGAGATGTAATCCAAACATATGTGCTCAGTTTGGAGTGGAGGGCTGCTGTGAGAAGGGCTGGGCAAGGGGAAGGGCAGCTGCTGGGGCAGCATTGTTTTGACACCCGCTGCCCCCGTTATCTTTACTCTTCCTCTTAAAGACAAAAGAGGGCTCTGCTTTTCTTGACCAGGGTGAAGCTTCCAGCCGAAATGGAAGAGTTCTCAAAGTTTCTCCCGAGCCCTGGTAGTGTCTTTATTGAGAGATTTACTCCATGGACCACATCTGCTCCCAGTTGTGAGTCAGGAGCATCAGTTGCCATGGCAACTTCTTTGGGCAAGTCATACGGGGAAAGCGCTGATGTATTTTTAGCTTTGGGTAATGAAATTTAACAGCTGGAAATAAAGATGAGGGCCAGCCAGGGTGCCACAGGTTCACGGACCGCTGTTTGGGCCCAGCTCTTCAGCAGCACCAGCGGGATGAGCTGGTGGGGCTGTGTTTGGGAAGGCTGCTCTGGCCTGTGGCTCACGTGCTGGGTGCTGTGCGGGACAGCACCCGCGAGTACGTCAGAGGAGAAGGAATCACTATAAAGCAAAGCTGATAAGGAGGTGGTGTTACATGTAAAGATAAAGAGGAGGCACTGCCTGAGGTCAGAGCTGCTTCGTGTACGCTGTGTTCAACCTATAAATAGCTCTTTGAATATACCTCTGCACAAGTGGTATTTATAGAGTGATGAGTGAAAAAAGCTCCATCTGGGGTCAGGAGTTGATGTGTGAAGGATGTTTCAGGCTTGGTCAAAAGTTCAAGTTTCTGAGAGGTATGGAACAGAGCTGGACCCCAAATGTGTGGGGTTTTCTCCTCTGGTGGAGGCTCGAACGTTGCAGTGCTGTTAACTGCACCTTGTGAGCTCAGTGTGTCTGCAGAGGACGCTCACTAGATGTTGGCATTCAGATGTGCTACAGCAAAGCCCCTCTACAGACATAATTTATTCACGTAATTTGGATCCATCTAACTCACGTGTAAACTTTTCTGAAGGTAGAGTCACATTTTATTTTCTAAAATACTTTCTTGGCTCCCTGCAATATTTTTAGTTCCTTCGTCTTCAGCTGTCAAAAGTTTATTTTAAAATTAATTGATTTCAGTGTAATATTTACTGCACTTTAGCTTTCAGCACAGCATATGAAAATAGATTTCACTACAACTGGCAGTGGCTGATGGGATTCGTTCCTACTCCAAAGGCTCTTTGCATTATGTGCCGATATTTCCAGCCGAGCTCGCTTTCAACAGCCTCACCATCTTCTCATATCGCCGAGCTTCCACCAGCTTGGGCTGGCAGGGAGGCAAGGTGAAGCATTTAAGTTTAAAGAAGCCACAGTTGATGCATACCTGAACCCGAAGCGTCGATATTACAGGTCTGGCCCAATATCCAGTGGAATTAATAGGATCTTCCCTGTTTGTGTCAGTGGGCTCTTTGGCTGGATTAAAAATTGATCGTGTCTCATTGTGATAACCACAGCTGTGGTGAAGATTAAGCAGCGGGTCACGGCGGTGCCCTGGCCCTGGCCCATCACCGGAGTGTTACACATGGCAGAACGCAGCCCACGGAAATTGGAGCAGACTTTGCCAACCCACCGGGGTTGTCAAGGGAGGTGCTGAACCTTGAGGTTTAGTAGCAGCCTTTGAGTTGTAAAGCTTTAAATAACCTGTTAGCAGAGATATCACTGAAACCATTTCCTGGTGGGTTATGATGCTCTGGGCTTTCTCCTGGGAGGACCGAGGAGCATCCGTTACCTTTCACGTGGCCCCACCATGGAGGCTGGTGCCTCCCTGGTGCCTGGGAGTGGAGGACAGATGGAGGTGACGTGCCCCATGTCCATGGCAGGACCAAGAATATTTTCTCATCTGAGCCTTAATGCCTGAACTACCACGGGCTGGAAATACTTTTTCCATCCAGTCTGTTTCCTGATAGAGAATAGAGTATTTTTTTAATAGGTTGTTTTGAGTTATTTTGCCCAAAAAAATCTGCTGAGTTTTCCCTCCTACTTCTCCAGTGAAATGCTTTCACATGAAGGTTAAACTCCTCTGAGCAAAGTTGCAGCAAGCCACAGCATGCTGTTTTTCATATACATATACAAGGGTGTGTAGTGACAGGACAAGGGGCAATGGATTTAAACTGAAAGAGGGCAGATTTAGGTTAGATATAAGAAAGAAATTTTTCACTCTGAGGGTGGTGAGGCACTGGCACAGGTTGCCCAGAGAAGTTGTGGATGCCCCATCCCTGGAAGTGTTCAACGCCAGGTTGGATGAGGCTTTGGGCAACCTGGTGTAGTGGAAGGTGCCCCTGCCCATGGCAGGGGGGTTGGAACTAGATGATCTTTAAGGTCCCTTCCAACCCAAACCATTCTATAATTTGATGATTCTATATATCCTCATTCCAAAAGAGGAATCCTGTATTTTCCTCTCCACAGCGCAGGGCAAAGACTGTTTCACCAAAACTAAGAAACCAGTACCTCTTTCCCCACCTCTAACCAAACCTTTTCTAGTAAACATGCTCCCAGCTGACTGGAATGGCAAAATTTCTCCATTTGGCATTTTCAGTGGTCAGATCTGGGCAGCTCGGTGGTGGGGCTTCAAGCTGAGAGGTCTGTGAGGAGCAGGAGATGTGCTGAGCTGTCGAGGTGGTGGACGCATGGGGGTCCTTTGGTGGGCTGCAGGAGAGGAGAGTGGCTATCAGAGGCTGTGGGGGGTACACCAGAATTAAAAAGCAAAACAAAGTCAGGTGTCAGAAGCTGAGCCAGGCTGGGGAAGAATGATGGAAGCGATTCCTTTGATGCCATCAGCATTTTTATTGATCTGAGGCTGTTTATTGCTGTAAAATAGTTATAAATTAGAGAAAAGCTGTGAAGAGAAGTGAGAGATGGAAATCGCCCGGGTATGGTTTAAAAGATGTACATGGGCATTTATCAAACCCAGGCATTGGCTGCAGGGCTCCGTACCCTGCGGAGAAGGTGGTCAGCACCCAGCCCTGCTCACGTAGGTTTGGTGGAGAAAGTTAGAGCTTGGTCTGCCCGTGTGACATAAGGTAAATGTTCTTTGCAGACATGCTGAAGGGCTTGGAGAAGGGGCGCTGGAGGAGGCCCTGGGGCTGGGGTTCGTTGCGCAGCCGTACGCAGGGAGAATTTCCTGTAGATCAGGCTGGTTCACCTACAGCAGCCCGGGGCAGATGCTGCAGAAAGAAACGGAGTTCGATGTGTGATGAATAAATAATTTGGCAATGATATTTAGCACAGAAAACAGGCAGCGTGAGCGTGGACACTGTTGTATTTATCTGTCTGCATCCAGAGGCGTGCATGTGTGAGTGCAGGCACACAAGTGTATATCTGTGTGTGAACATGTCGTGGTCACCCTAACTTGACCAAATATGGATCATTAACATTAGAGAAGTTAATATGTGCTGCTTCTGCTACTATATAAGCTGGAGAGGGGACTTTTGACAAGGGTATATAGTGATAAGACAAGGGGCAATGGCTTTAAACTGAAAGAGGGGAGATTTAGATCAGATCTAAGGAAGAAATTTTTTACGTTGAGGTGGTGAGGCACTGGACCAGGTTGCCCAGAGAAGCTGTGGCTGCCCCATCCCTGGAAATATTCAAGGCCAGGTTGGATGAGGCTTTGAGCAACCTGGTGTAGTGGAAGATGTCCCTGCCCATGGCAGGGGGGTTGAAATTAGATGATCTTTGAGGTCCCTTCCAACCCAAACCGTTCTGTGATTCTGTGTCCCATGTGTGCAGATGCATTGACCAGAGAGTCCTCCACCATAACAACTCCTCTCTTCTTCCTCCTCCTTTACAGAAATCCGTGAAGCTTTCCGAGTGCTGGACAGGGATGGGAATGGCTTTATATCCAAGCAGGAGCTGGGCATGGCAATGCGTTCCTTGGGATACATGCCCAGTGAGGTGGAGCTGGCAATTATCATGCAACGCCTTGACATGGATGGTGAGTCTTTGCTGTTGGTTCTTCTCTGTTACTGTGCACCACAGCCAGCATTTTTGGCTCAAACAATTTGCAGCCACCAAGGATGGTCTGGAGAGGAAGCTGTGAAACTTTGCCTTTCACCACAGCGAGGAAATGGCAGGTGACTGTGAGCTGTCAACCTCCCATAGATAAACCCACCTCTCAGGCAGCCCACGTAAGGGAGATGGAGCATCTTTTATTTATTTGACCAGCTGTTACAGCTGGCGGAGACAGCCCAGCTCTTGCAACCTTTCTCTGCAAAGGTGCAAATGGTCTTTTGCAAGGCTGTGGTAACCTTTCTCTTTGTGTTCCTGGGCAGCATCTGGCCCAGCGACGCTTGCTGGGAGGTGACCTGAGCGCCCAGCCAAGGAGAGCTGCCCGGTCCTTCTTGCAAGTGAAAGATGCTGGGGATGGGAGCTCTGCTGTGTTGTAATGAAGCGTTGATGGTTTTTGAAAGAGAAGTTTAGAAAGGTGGAATAATTTTGAGCAAAGTCCTGCTGTGAGAGCTCGTCAAATGGTTACTAAGAGGTAATAAAAGAAACAGAACCCACCATTAACGAGAGGAGAGAAATGCAGCATCAGGATGCTGGAGCCAGGGGGGATTTTTTAACTGCCGCAAAGCTACAATCATTGCTGATCGCAGTGAGCGGGCTGTCTTTAAAATGTCCTTGGTCAGAGCAGGAAGGGAGACTTTTCTGGTGCCTGAAACCTGCAGGGAAGCTGGGGTGTGGATCCGACCTTCTCCCACCCTTCTGCAGACGGCTGCAGCGAGGTGGAAACGCTGCGCAAAGTCAGATGAAATCATCCCAGACCAGAGTGCTGGACGCAGCCCTGGTCTGGAGGGGGGATGCTTGGCAAGCCACCGCGACGCCAGCATCCTTGGGGACACTGCTGAGAGCAGAGACCGTGGGAGATGGTGGTGTTGGGAGTGAAGCTCTTCTACCTGCCAGGAGGTAGATATCCTGAGTCCAATGCCCCGATGACATGCACGATACGACTGTATTCATCAGGCCAGGGGATGTGGAGAAGAGGCTGTCAGCCTGCTCAGGGGTGTTCAGCATCTCCCCTAGACAGGGAGAAAAAGTAATGCAAAACGTTAGATAGAGAAGATCAGTTTTTGGAATGATCTCATTCCTGAAAGAAAAGAAAAAAATAAAATCCATCACTTTTAAAAGCGTTTTCTCCAAAAATTATTGTTTTCACCCTGTTATGTTCGGCTGGCCTTTCCTAGCAGACCAGGTGATTTCTTTTTAGGTTTTGCAAAGGCCAGACTCAGCAGAGTGCCAGTTCATGGGGTCTTCTACCAAAACTCTGCACTTTTTTGGAAAAAGAGTGCTGTGGACTTGGCTTCCAGTTTTGGTTCCTCTCCAGTTATTCCCTGACTCTTGGTCTCAGAGACGTGAGACTTTGGCACTCTCTCGTATACACTGCTAGTGTGCAGGGACCTGTAATCGGAGAGGTGGAGCAAGAATGTGGAGTAATGGGCTGCAGATGGAAGGTGTTAAATTCCTGTTTGAGACTTTTCAGAAAGCTCCATATGGTTTCTGCAGAGTTGGGAGATGATCCTCCATCTCTTCCAGCTCAACTGTTCCAACAGCTCCAAAGATACAGTCCAGTTGTGCCGAGTGTTTTTATTGTTCTTATGTCTCAGCTGCCTGTTGTTGCAGTATTTTGAGCGGAGGGTTTGGGGCTGGACACAAGTCTGTGCTATGTGAAGGTCAAATGAGCCATACATTAAAAAAAAAGACAGGGTAATGGGAAATTCCTTAGGCACTGAGCAAATAGGGGAATATTATGTGAAAGATTTACCTTGCCTGCAAATTGAATTAATGCTGTACAACTTGAATTAGTATTAAATGGCTGATGACTACTTTTTCTCCAATGGATTGTCTCTTTTTTTTTTTTCTGTGATTTAACTTGAAATATGTGGTGAGAAGCAGCAATCGTATCCTCTTTCTTCTCCCACTGTGCATGAGCATCACTCGATAGCTGGGCTTGAACCCGGTGAGCTCCCAGGGATGTCAGTCATGCCCTGCGCTCCCAGGGACAGCCTTACCCTCCTGCCCATATAGTCCTGTTGAGAGTTGCTGAATTTTTCCAAGGCTTTGGCTCAACATCAGGTGGGTGGGAAGCTCAGCTGGACAAAAGGTCACATTCAAGGAGGAGTCCCCTGCGGCCAGGAAAGCCAGGGGGAGGCGGTAATCCTCCTGCGCATCTCCCAGCACCTGATGTGGATTATGATGTGACGGCAGGTAGCGTAGCCAGACGCCCGTTTCTCCACGCAAGGCTGCTGCTGTCTGCTAATAATGAGGTAATACAATTGGCAGTGAGTTATATTTAATCTGAACCAGCCTGGACAGACCTAGCGCAAACATACGGTTTTCATCAGAAATTACCTTGGGAGTACATTCGCGTTGCCGGATGGCAGGGTGGCTGTGTCTGCCATGGCTTATTTAACTGATGGGCTTCAAACATTGAGCAACTGGAGTCAGTTTGAATTGTTTTTTCCTTGCCAGCCCTGTTTTCTGTAGGGATATGGAGGGAGACTGAGCCCTGTCTGGGTGAGGTTGCAGGAGCTGTGTTGTGAGGTTGAACAGAACGTGTTTTAAGAGGAGAATTTGTGATGTATGCTGGAGTGGTTTTTGTGGCTGAGCATAAACTGATATGACAAGAGCATTTCACACCTGTATGTCACCTTCTGCCACAAAGCATCTCACTGAGCTCAGTGAATAATGCAGGGATCAACTCCAGAGGTGCCCGAGGACAGTTGCTCCTGGGGCTGTAGCATGCAACTGCTCAGTAGCACATAGAGAGCCTCCAAATCAGAGCAGAAATGAAGGTGCATTTCATAATTCATTGCATTTGAAGGCAAAATGTAGTTAGTTAGAAAACGCTGCTTGAGCTTAAGTGGAAATAGCAATTGCACAGTTTGGATTTTGCCCAGGAGCTCTTCACAGGTGCCATATCACTTTTAATGCCTCCACGGCTCTTGAGTGTTGCCATCAGCCTTCCTGCACAGGTGACATGCCAGCAGCCCTGGCATTGACAGGGTGGAAGTGGGTGCAATGGGTGGGTTTGACCACTGAGAATGTCACAGGGTGACACTGAGAATCATATCACTTCTAATGCCTCCATGACTCTTGAGTGTTGCCATCAACCTTCCTGCACAGGTGACATGCCAGCATGGCATTGACAGGGTGGATATGGGTGCAATGAGTGGGTTTGCCCACTGAGAATGTCACAGGGTGACACTGAGAATGCTCAAGAGCTTCCAAAAGTCCTCCAGGGCTAAGAGCAGTGGGAGGGGGCTCCTGCCTGTGGGGATCACAAGGATGCTCAATATCCCATGCCATGAAGCCCATGGCACACAGAGAGGCTTGAGTTATCTGCTGGGCTTCAGTGCCATGGCATAGCAAAGCTGCTGCAGGGCTGGGGAAGAGGGACAGAAGTTTAGCTAAAAGACAGTAAGATGGGACCCCAGGATGGCTTGGGGCCAGCAAAAAGAGCAAGATGTATTTTCCTGTTTACAGGCAAATGCAAACTCACAGCAAATCCTATATTGAGAAGCATCAAAAACTACCCTCCCATCCCCAGAGATGGCTGTCAAAGATTCCCAAGAGGCTGACTGCATGGTTGCCCATTGACTTGTGGAAAGTGAACCTGCCTATGGCAGGGAGGTTGGAACTAGATGATCTTTAAGGTCTTTCCAACCCAAACCATTCTATGATTCTATGACTTGACTATTTTTGCCCCAACAACTGAGGTGATTTTGGGCCACTGAGGCAGGAGATGTTTTGTTCCTGTGCTGGGGCAGGGAGTGAGTGCTGGGAACTGGTGGTGGCACATGGGAAGCCCTCAGCCTTGGCTGTGCCTTATCCTGAGGACACACCACAGCCCTGCAAAGGACCATGCTCCCTGCTACGTTTGCCTCCTTAGCATGGCTTCACTGAATGCACCTACTTCCCATGAGTATCTAATTCTCACCAGTTCTCACTGTAGGAAGGTGACCATCAGAGCCTGGAGTATCCATTGCATTTCCTACAAACGCTTTCTCCACCTTTTCTTCCCAGTCTCCTTACTGTTGTGCAAGGCATGCTTCACCCAGGTGAAGAGGAATGCAGTTGCTGCAGGGGGAAATATTATAGTTGGCATAAAAATATGAATTAGGGAGAAAAATGAGAACCTACTTGGACTATTTCAAGGTCTCAAGAGAAATCTCATAAATCTTCAAACACCCTTTTATGAACTACTGGAAGATGCTGTGGCATTGCTGTGATGGAGGAGATGAAAGCACCAAAATAGAACAGAAAGAAAAGGGATTTTCAGTGAAAAATTGCCTCTTTTTGGGAAGGGATGTGAGGAATGCTGGTTCCGGCACATGTCAGAGCATGAGATTTGCATTAGGCCAAAGCTTTGCTTACATCTTGATAGAAGTGGTGCGTGACTGTATGCCAGCAGAAGGTTGTTCGGGATAGCTGGGCATCTATCCAGTGTGCTGTGCCTTATAGGGACACATGATTTGCTTTTGGTCTGGAAACAGAGGTCAGATCTTGCTTCAGTTTATACCCTTGATTTGCTTTATTCTTAGACATAATTAGGTATTGCATGAACGTAAACATTGCAGACTGTGAGAGGTGCATACATTTCTGTCTGCAATCTGGAGAATGACCTGAAACGTTCTGCCAGTATGTGGAAAGTAAAATATTTTATATATTTATGTGCTGGAAAAGAAATTATTTGTAAATTCTTCCAATTGGCAGTAATGCTAATAAAAATGCAGAGAAATGGCACATTAAATGTGTTGCCTTATCTGGGATGCCTACTCTTTAAGCAGACTTTCGCAATAAAATAGATGAATGTGTGACTTAAGTGTCAAACTGTTTCGTTACAACATAAGACACTTTTATCTGAGGAATAAAATAAGCACTCAGTGTACTAATTAGAGGAGCAGCTGGTTTTCAGTACCCTGGAAAAATCACTTC